AATGTAGAAGACGCTGTGTGGTCGTCTCCCAACGCGACTCGTTTTAAATACTCCCTCAATTCTTCTAGTCTTTGAATCTCCTGTGTGTTCTCTTCCCTTAAGTTCTAATTTCCATCGAATCGACATACTCGCGAGTACTTACCTATCTTGGGGGGGGGGATCCTATCGTTTCTACGGGAAATTCTACCCTCTTTGGGGAGGAATCCTACAATATATGGTTCTTAAATTTGTATCGAGAACAACTACAGTAATGTATAGATTGAATGTAACCCCTTTTAATAAATGAATACTTGATTGGAGTAAAGAAACTTAAACAAAAAGTAACTATATTTACAAATGCTTACCACTAATAAGACAAAGCTAATCATACTAGATTACTTTCAGGTTGCCAATATCACTGACAACTAAAACAATACACGATTCAAGAACACTACATAAAGCACTGAATACATAAGCTTTAAGAACAGCGTCCTTCAACGCATCATATAGACAAGCTTGATCATCAGTAAGGTTTACAAAGACAGTTTTTACTCTACCTGAGAATGCTGATTGAGCTAGAAAACTGCACTGAAATAAGTCCACTCAACTGTGGCATTCTTCTCAAATAACGAAAAAATTCTCATCAAAACTATGTACAAATTTAACACGTTTTGGAGCATCTTAAGTAGTGGCCTGTGAAGTGTTTGAACTGGAAATTTGATTATTTCTTAGAAAATTCCTTTCCTTTTCCAGCTGTTTTATAGCCAATTCATGTGCTCCCTGAGCCTTCCTATGATTTATTTTAAGTTTTACCGATTCACTAGTACCTTCTGCACACAAATATAAAACACTAAGTGATAACTCGGCATTAACCAAATAATTAAGAGCATTCTTTTTAATCTCTGCTTTAGTTGCACCTGCTCTGTACTCCTTTATATAATTTAGCAAGGGCAATCCAATCACCTTTCTTCATCAATCCGTTGTTTCTTGGGTTATTAGTAAATTAATTAACATTGAACTCCAGGGTTACAAGTGAATCAACTATTGGACCAAACAGTTCAAAATCCGGGACAGACGCCCCTAGGGACTCTCCCAGGGACGGCGGCGCCCCAGAAGCCTTGCCACAGGCCCAGGGGCCTCCCATGGACGACGGAGCCCCCAGGTGTGGTGGGGCCCTACCAGATGCGATGGCGCCCCCAAGGGCCATCATGCCAGGGACAGTGGCCCTTCCAGGGATGGAGGCTCCCCAGGCGCTCTCTCAGGGACAGCGGCGCCCCTAGCGACGGCAGGGCCCTGCCAGGGGGGGAATGGAAGAGAGGGAGGAGAAGTTAAGTGAATGGGAAGGAAAGGAGTTGTTTTACAATGGGTAGAAATATGAGATGATGTTATAGCGAGCGATCAGTACGTGATGGTATGGGCTGGATACGGTTGTGGTGTGGAATCTCCTCGATATACTACCCGTTCAGAGTCCCCGGAGGTACGCGAGTGAAGTGCGACGGATGGTGGATCATGATCGGCTGTTTTAGAACCTTGGCTCTCGCCTCCGCCATGATGAGACCAGCTTCCCCATCTCGCGACTCTGTAACAAAAAATACCCCGCTATTTCTAGACGTGTTGTTATAAGGTGTGATAGATGTTGGCCCCGGCAGTTGTTAATGATATAATATGGATTAAAATGTAGTTGTTTTTGATGCATACGCCGCCATATATTCCTACATGTAAGGACTGTTTTGAGTCTGGCAGAGACTGACATTACTTGATCCTCTTCACCACTGATCGGCTTGTTATCTGCTTGGGCTGTCGGTCACGTCTCTGTTACACACTGTTGGCAATTACTGGGCATGTACTGGCTCTGTTACACACTGTTGGCAAGTACTCGGCATGTACTGGCTCTCAGTTACACACTGTTGGCAAGTACTGGCTCTCTGTTACACAGGCCCAATACACTGCCCCGTGGTACCCGGCTGGTCACGGGTGCGCATAACGATTTCGTGTCACTAATTACCACATACTGCTTGCGCTTAAGAAATCTCTTCTTTACACACACACACACATTTTTGTACTGTAAAAATTAATTACTATTGACCTCAGAATATCCTCTAATATCAAAAGCACATGGCTTCAGATGGCCTCAAAATGCCCATTGATATTGATCAGAAAAAAAAATCTGGGGAAAGGGGGAGGCTTACAGCTACCCTCCAGGTGGATGGGCTCGCTTTGCTCGCCAGGTTCCCCCACCCAAAATTTCTTGGACCCTCCCCCTTTTGACATTCCTGGATCCGCCCCTGGAACTCAAACATGGAACAGGACGAAATAACTGTCTAGTAGACGCCATCCTCTTGTGCTAACTCATCATAAAGCATTATTGCTAAACTATAAATTATAAAATGAAGAAAATCAAATAAAATACTTTCATAATTATTCTATATAATTTTTCTTCTGCATTTGACTCCCCAAAAGGCCTAATTAACAATTTCGGTATTTTTCCGACGGGCCACCGGGGCCGGTACAGTGACGTCGCGGTCTACCGACTACGTCATCGAATTACATTTTTTTACCATCAAGCAGACGGTTCGGGTCATGGGTGGTCTGTACTGAGCAGTTCACTTACTCGCTGCTAGGGGTCATGTTGTTACACCTGCCCCTCTACACAGGTTGTTTAGTTAATGAAGTTTGGTAGTTTTCTCGGCTGGTTGCTTTTAAATGTGGACAGTCCATACCTTTCTATTGCACTGTAGGATTAAACAATGTAACGCAAGTAAACAATATAAAAACATTCAAGGAGTAAATGATGTGTAAACAGGTATATGAATAAACAATGTAAAGTGAACTTTTAGATCGACACACAGGCAGACACCCAAACAGTTAAACAGACATACATTCAGACACACACACATCTACACACACGCTTTGAATTTAACCCTCTCACTACTGGACACCACTTTTAATATTTAATTTGGTTAACGTCAGATAATTTTATTCAGCAGAGAGAGACCCTTCGTACTTAAAGGGGTTAAAGACCTGTACTCATGGGAATGTTGGCATGCTGTGGTGTCATATCTCTGCAGTTTTTATACTGGTGATGTGGCACCTGTGTTAACTCTCAGTATCCCGCCCATAGGAAATATTGCAATACTACTACTGCTACTACTACTTTTTTTCAAACGTGGTCTCCAGCCTCCCTCAATAGCCACACCTTCGCCGCAATTTTATTACCTTAAAATTAAATATCCTAATACAAAAGTAGCTACCCTAGCTATGTTGAGTTAGTTGAGCCGCATATCTATGTAGTATTCAGCGACAGTTGCCTCATAGTCAATATCTGCGGCCGTTGTCGGCTTTGGGGCCGACGATCTCGTTCCCCTGAGGCAGCGCAATGCAGACCTAAGCAGAGAGAAGTACAGTCGACATCTCAACCTGGCTGTACATGGGATCGTGGGTGTAAATGATTATGAAGTAAGTCATCTCCCGGATCATATCTTTGGTGGCCGCACACTTGGGTGGTTCATTGAGGTTAGTTAGCGACCACCTGAGTATACTTCTTTGACCCACTTCTCCGCATCGTCCCCCGACAAGCCTTTCCAATTTATTGACTATGCCATTCACCTACAACTACTACTTCTACAATTACCACTACAATTACTACAACTAATTCCATCTTCTACTACTACCAATAATAGTCATAATAATTACAACAACAATAAAAAACAGTAATAATAAATCATAACAACAGTAATAATAAAACAAGCAATTTACCACCTCAAACATATATCTATAAAGGTGGAAATCGTCTACAACAACAAAATTTACAGGAAAAACACAGCTATCACACAGTATTTCCTATTCACACTATCTATAATAAACCCCTGGGAATTATACCGGGTGGCTTGTGTCAGTGATTAGCGCAAGACTGTTACTTAATTTAACCTAACCCTAACCAATGTATACACTTAGATAATTGACTGTAAAGTGTGTACATTTATTGTAATATATGTGTAAACTTAAGTGTAGGGTATATGTACACTTTATGGAACATGAATTAACTTAACGACTGTAACCTATGTATACAATGTTGTAACCTTTGTGTAAACTAAACCTAACCTAACCAACTCTAGCATAAAGCAACATAACCTGACGCAAACCAAATCTAACTTAACGCTAACCTATCCTAATCTAACGCTAATTTAACCCTTTTAAGCAGCAGCATAAGGTGGGTTAATCTTCAGGTGATCTCTTTAACGTCAACAGACTTAAGGGTCTCCCGTTGGTTGCCATGGGGACAGTTAAATGCGTTAACCTCCCTAAATTATCGAGGAAAAATACTTATTACCGAACTTTTTTTTTTTTCCTAAGTCACTCCCAGATAACACGTTGTATGATCATTCGTATCGCATATGCTTGAGTCATGAGAGAGAGAGAGAGAGAGAGAGAGAGAGAGAGAGAGAGAGAGACCGTATTCAACTTGCATAAGAAAGTAAATAAAATAACACACATAACAACTGGAATTCCCTTAGTGTCGTCATCCCGCCTCACGTAATCACAAACAAACATGGACCTTAAAGACACTGTGGGTTTTCTTTAACTCCCCATTGACTTTAACACAAAAGAAAATCCTCTCCAGTAACATCACAGATATACGCCTCGTCACCGCACCATAAGCTGGATTTGTGATTAAGAGAATGATTATATTATGTAAACAAGGGTAGTCAAGATCCGGTCACTGGGTGCGTTAATTAAGCCACACTGGAATAAACGTCCCTTATGGTAGATATATTTCCAGCAGTCAGGTTAATAACACTTACATAAGCCTGATGTGGCGGAATTTTACACGCAACTGTCTGGTGGGATTCTGTCCACTGGGAAACTGTCTGGTAGGATTGGGTCCACTAAACTTTTGAGTGCTAATTACATGACAAAAGTGGCAACTCTCCCTTATCATTGTTACCACGTGTGAAGTACCCATGTGTAGCCGAGTCTCCTGGGGTTGGGTGGGTATATATATATATATGTATATATGTATGTATGTATGTGTTTGTGGGAAGCAGATACGTGTACCAGTGTTACACAGTCCTCAGTACCGTCGTGACCATGGCGAGAGGTTTACTTACCCTCTTGGTTCTACTGGTGACCAACGCCGCCACACAGGTTGGTCGTACTGGTTAGAATTAGGATTATTATGCAACCTCAGATTTTGTAATATATGGGTGAGCTTCAGGTAAGATGTGAAGTAGATGTAATTTACTCGTAAGAAATAGCTATTGGCTTACTCTAAATACGGGATGGACAGAAACAGAAGTATTCGAACTGGGATCATAATGGCATAATTTAGGCTCTGAGACAGTTTTTAAGTGGAAAACTTTTAACAAACATGTTTTTGGCTGAGTGTAATCAACCTAAAACCCGCCTTTCCTGACCTGAGTGATGAAGGTTGTTTTCAAGTGATCACTTTAGCCAGCCACTGAACTAACTCTTGGTCGCCTTTGTTTACTCAAGGGCGCTGCACCAGTGAAGGTGGATGTGTACTTCGAGACGCTGTGTCCTGACAGCATTCGCTTCTTCAAAGACCAGTTGACGGCCGCCGTGAGTGCCATAGAGGAGATCATGACCGTGGAACTCACCGCTTATGGCTTTGCTACAGTAAGTTGTCTGTCACTCACCAAGACTTCGTACGGATTGGCTTGTTCATGTCGACTTAATTGTCGATCTCTCAATCTAGTTCATGTAAGCCGTTAATCAGTTCACCGTTGTGCCGTATTGGTATCTTGTTACCACTATCCAGGTACAGTACGTCTCATTCGATTCACTCTCATCTAATCCAGTTTTTCCCCCTCCCTCCTCGCCAGGCGACACCATCAGGCGATGGCTACAAGTTTGAGTGTCAGCATGGCGCGGATGAATGTTATGGCAACAAGATAGTCGCTTGCACCAAGAAGTACATCACGTCGGAGAAGACCTTCCTCGACTTTACCCTCTGTCTTATGGACGAAGGCAGCTACCCACCCATCAACGGAAAGATGGTAGGTGTATGTCTGCCTGTCTGTCTATTTACTACTACAGTACTACTAATAACAATAATAATAATAAAGCCCGTGTTCTCTTCTACACATTACTAACTATAACAGTCCCACATTTAATGTTTTTCAAGGTAAAGGCAGGGACGATTATCATCAGAAGGAACTTATGAAATTGCACCAAAATTTCTAGAATGTTATTTGCATGATACTAAATAAGAAAATGGAAACGATAATGCACAGAACCTGACCTAACCAAACTAACCTTACCTAATTGCCTTGGAAACACCGGACCACCGCCATATAAAGTTGTTTAGCCAACAGCAAAAGAAACTTGCCTTAATTAATATCAAGGTGCTTCTAGTGAAGCGATCGCAACCGACTGTTACACTTAAACGAGTATTTTTCCTTTAATGTCAGTTCCCTGCCGCATTTTGGACACTTGCACATGCTTTCTGTAAGTCCCTGATCACATATTAAGCTCTTATCACGGCCTTAATCCCCAACAAGCACAAATAACTAATGGTAAAAGACGACATAATCGTCTAAGAAGCTAAGTGTCTCTTTCAGGAAGAACAATAAGGTGAGGAAACAGGAAAGTAAAGCCTATTAAACTGAAAACAAAGACAATCAAACCAATATTTGCGGTATAAAAATCTTCGATAAGATCCTCCAGCGTTTCTTTTACTTGTTAACAAATCCGTTTTCGCAAATGTTTAGATTAAGAACGGATGAGAACCAATTCTATCTATAAACTCCTTCTGGTGATACCGTCTCCTCCACCATTACCCTTTTCAGCATTACTGCCTTAACTTTCCTACTGCTGGTGAGACTCTCGTGTTGCCCCCACACGTTTCCCACTACTTGGGGAAAATATGTTTGCTAACTACATAATAGTCTTTTTAAGTTTTGATTGACTGCATGTCCTCAGATGAGTTTGCTGCCATTTAGGGGTAATTAAAAAAAAAGGCTAACTTTTCGTAATCTACCGTTAACTTAAACTAACGTAATCTTAAGGCAACCTGTTGCTGGTGGACGTTACTTCTGACATAAAGTGTGGGCCTCGGCCCCTGACCAACCTCTCCTCACACACCTTCCTCGCTCACTGGATGTTGTCGCCAGTGAGAGTCAGGAGTGTGAAGTTAACTGTTGCTTTTGTTGACAGCTGACCAACTGATGTTGTTGTTGTTTTTGTTGTTTTTCACAGTGTGCAGAGAAGATGGGCTTCAAGTGGGACCCCATCAAAGAGTGTGTTGACTCAGTGGAGGGCCAACAGCTGCTGTACCAGGAAGGTGTCAAACAAAACAGACTGTCACCAGCTGTTGACTATATCCCCTGGATTATTATCAATGATGTAAGTGATCAAGTGTAATTGTGTGTGTGTGTGTGTGTGTGTGTGTGTGTGTGTGTGTGTGTACCTGTTTCACTAACACACTTGTCTCTCCCACAGGTGTTCTCGCGGGCCAACCTGGACGAGGCTCAAGTGGACTTGATTGGTCTGGTGTGTAATACCTACACAGGCACCCCACCGAATGGGTGTAAGTAGTGCTTCTAATAATGCAAGAGTACTTGGTACTCATACTCGGGCTCACCAGAATACCATAACAATCCTTAAATTAATTTGTACTGTAGTATGCCTGACGTACAGTACACCTGTTGGCTCAACACTCTTAGCAGTATTAATAAAATTTGATCATTTATGGTCTAGTCTTAACTCCTCCTTCATAAGACAGTTACAAGACTGATATTAAAGCAAATCATAATAACACTTTTGCAACCAATAAAAACAACAATCACTGGACAATAATAGGTCACGCGCATAACATAAAGTGTTAGATATTAATGGAAACATACAACAAACCTCCTCATGCAATGTTACGATATATACACAAACTGTGTAGATGGATGAGTGTGTTACCAAGCGAGAACATAACTAATTAAACTATACCATGACAAGTGACTGTTGGCGCGTCTTTACCCACGCTGGTATTTAATTACCCTTATCTGACTGACTGAAAGTTACCCAGATCCACTTCCAGAATCATTACGTACCACCTTCTATTTACTCCCATTTCTCTCTCTATTTCACACTTCCTATCTCCTTTTTCTTTTCCCGCCATCCTTCCCTTGTCTTTCCCCCACTTCTCCCACCCCCCGCCACTTCCTCCTTTTCTTTCGTTGTCTCCTTCTTAAAAGTTTTTTGTAAGTGACATCATTTCTCATAATACAGAAACCAAAATATGTATTATACCCGTTGAAGATTGTTCTTTCGAATGTTAATACATATATACACATACTGGCAAGAACAAATACTAGGAAACGAGTAATGCCACGGTGCCACATGAGCAAGGGAGGCACACCTGGAGGCCACTGTACCTATCTATCTAAAAGGTGTGTGTTTGTTGTGTGTATGTGTCAGTGCGAGCGTATGTGTGTGTGTGTGTGTGTCTGTGCACGCGTATGTGTGTCTGTGCGCGCGTAAGTGTGTGTGTGTGTGCCCAGCCTATATACAGCAGGGCAGCAACAACTACATTATTGCCTTCCATTTGTCGACTGAGTCAAGAACGTGTAAATACCTGGCTAAGTTTAACCCGGTAGTCGTAATGAGCCGAGGAGGACTGCATCATTAGTCTATCCACAGTGAACCAGTGACGCAAGATAATCGGATTCACATGTCAGATTATAAGACTCAGATTCTCAAACTATTATCCGCTAAAATTCTCTCCTCGTATCTGCAGATTAAAAAACGCGTCTAAATACGATTGACTCTTAATATTATTTATTTTTACCGTTTTAGATGTGTCGCCTCAATGTCACTTAATACTGCCTTCATTACCAGGGTTCCTCTCAGGTGTTAATTCGTGGAAATAATTATCATAATGTGTTAATTCACATCCTCCAACCAGGTGTGCCCAGCAAGGTGTGACGCAAGTAATTAATAAGACGCCGGTGGTGTTCTGGGGGGTATTATGTAACAACTGTATTCAGACTGCGTTGTATAGTGATTATGTGTATAATATGTATATCTGGGATCTACGATTATACACATACTGTATAGATAAGTATATTTACCATTCTAATGTGATGTGTATAATATAAAGTTCCTTCCTCTATAAAACACAATATTAATGGGAAAAATAAATATACTTTCTTGCATAAGAATATAAACGTTGAAGAGACAGTTAATGTATTACAAATTTAATTAGAAAAAATAACAAACTTTCCAGTAAAGAAGAACTTTTTTTTTAAATATATCTACAATGCATTTTGTTCAGTTAACTTTAATCCTAGGGGGGAAATATTAAAACTTTGTCGTATGTAAATAGTTTAGTGTAGTAATTGGTTTTTGAATATGTTTAGGAGAGGGGTGACTGTAGATTAGGATAGGATAGGTTGGGATGGGATAGGTTAGGATAAGATAGAGTAGGTTAGGTTAGGTGAAGTTAGATTAGGTTATCTATCTATTTATCTACCACCTCATATCTCTCCACCTGTTTTTCCCTCCCCCTTTCCTTCCTTCCTTCCTTCCTCCCTCCCTCCCTCCCCCCTCTCTACCTATACATCGTCTTCTCCTGGCCAGGCCTTAAGAGGTAAGTAAATATGACAGAAGTTTGAGGTACAATAAAAAACCCAATGAGACTGAAGAAGACGAAGAAGTAGAAGAGATGGTAAAACTAATAACTAACGCCAATGTCAACAATAAAAAATAAAGTGATGATAATAATAATAACTATTCTCCTTCAGGTCTTGGCAGCATCAGTGATCGAATAAAACCTGACAACATACACGTACTGTAGGTCAATTCCATTCTATGTCCACCTCAATAACTCACCCCCCCACCCCCTCATTATTGTGGTCAAGAAGAAATCTTTTGAGAACTTAGTCATCGTTGCTGACATCAAAGACTGATTCACATTAAGAACCTTCAACACCTTTTTTTAGAATTTGCGGTTTTGTCCACTGGAGTTCTTTGCCCTTGGGATAGGATACTTGTATAGCCTGTAGGATTGTAGGTACCCGTGTCTCATATCCTGCCTGTGACACTGGTACCGGTACTAGTATAAGATGTAGGATTGTAGGTATACCTGTCTCTTTTATCCTGCCTATGACAATGGTACCAGCACTAGTATAGGGTGTAAGACTGTAGGCACCTGTCTTATATCCTAGTCAGGCTGCACCTCGATTATGCTGTTCAGTTCTGGTGCCCTTATTATAGAATGGATATCAATTAATTCACTGGAGTCGGTACAGCGAAGAAAGGCGAAAATGAAATGATTCAGGGACTTAGAAACCTTCCATATCAAGATTAGATTAAATAAACTAAACTTGCATTCCCAAGAAAGACGAAGACTGCGGGGAGATATGATAGAAGTATTTAAGTGGGTGAAAGGAATCAATAAAGGAGATATAGATAAAGTTCTTATAATATCCGAGCAAGACAGGACTCGTAGCAACGGTTTTAAGTTGGATAAGTTTCGGTTTAGGAGGGAGATAGGAAGAAACTGGTTCACAAATAGGGTGATAGACGAGTAGAACAAGCTTAGCAACTTTGTAGTAAGTGCTGGGACACTGGAAAGTTTTAAAAGGAGGCTAGATAGATTCATGGACGATAGAGTGGTTGTAACTCTCGACAGGAGCTGCCAAACACAGGCCAACCGGCCTATTGCAGACTCCTTATTTTCTTATGACCGGTACTAGTGTAGGGTGTAGGACTGTAGGCACCTGTGTCTTATATCCTGCCTATGACTGGTAAGTTCGAAATCATATTTGTTATCCAATCACTGCGTGGAACTGAACCTTCAAATACTGCTTGTTAATACACATAAAATATACATCAAAATATGTTTATTGAATTTCCTATCCACGATTTTGAAGACCAGGAAGGAATATATCCCGCCAATGCGAATTCCAAGAAAGTGTTTGCCTCTGTGCTGACGCCCCAGGAAAGACAACTTTATTCCATCTGCTCTAACAGCTATTCCGAAATCGTGCACTACAGGATAGGTGCAGTAAACAATTCTTATATAGAAACATCTTCCAGTTACAGGGTTTCCAGGGATAACTTCCGGGTGACATGGATTCCAGGGACATCTTGTAGCCAGTGTTAAAATATTCAAGGAATGACTTCAAGCTAATGTCAGTTTTAAGCATGACTTCAGCCACTTTGAGTTCCAGTACTGACTTGCCAAAGTGTGTTTCCCATGCAGAGGGATCAGTAGCTACGGTTATGAATGACCCAATACTGCAGCAACCAACCCTACCTGATACAACAAAACACATCCTCACACTTAACCAAACCCTCATCCACACGCTCACCCACATGCTCCCTAACTTATCTACATACTCACCTTCACGCTCCCTCACCCACACGCTCCCTCACCCACACCCTCACTCTCCCTCCCCTGCTACCTTACCTCCACACCTCACCATCTGTTACAACAACACACAGCATAATATACACATCCCTTTTCACACCTGTGTTATTTTACCTTCGTCATTACCCTCCATATACAACTTTCCACTGTCTAGTCATTAGTCACCTGTTTCCTTTTTGTCATAACTGAATTGTCACCTGAACCAATTGGCACTGAGAGACAATGTTTTTTTTTTAGACTAACTTACGAAAAAAAAACGTATTTCATGGCGTCCAATTTGACAAGTAAAAAATGGATTTTATTTTTAAACCGGTAATTGGTAAAGGGTATTGAATCAAAGCTACAGAGTTGATTTACCTGAAGTTATTTTGGTGGGGGGTGTTGTAGGTGTGACGTCGTGGAGAAGGTATGACGTCATGGGAAAAACTTTGACGTCATGAAGGGGGGGGAGGGGTGACGGTATGGTATGGATGTGATGCCATGGGGAAGGTGTGACGTTATCGTGGGGGTGTGGTGTCACAGTAAGGAAAGTGCTTAGGGGTGATGGAAAAGAAATTTGAAGCAAGGAAGAAAGGAGAGAGAGATGCTCCTTCAAGCGGATGCACACAGGCAACAAGACAACGACAACTCCCCCAACCGCTAAGGCTGCATTTACACCAAGCCAGTCAAGTCAAGTCAAGTCAAGTCAAGTCAATCAAGTCATTTGACTTGACTTGACTTGACTCATTGCCATTCACATCGATTGAGTCAACCTGAGTCAATCAGAACTCAGTACCCAGACTGATTTCGAGGAGGATGGACGCATATTCTCTCGCTGAATTAGCCGTTTTGTTGTGGATTCGGCGTCGTAAACGCAAGAGGAGGACCCGAATCTGGATGCATGAACTCAACACCAAAAGACCCAATTTTGGAAGCTTCAGTCATTTATTCCCAGACTTGGTGAACCATCAAGACAAATGGAGACAAGCATTGAAGTATCTGAAGCAATAGTGAAGAGTATCTGTGTGCTTCATAATTTCATTCAACATGAAACAATTTCAACTACTTTCTTGGTGATGGTGTTGATGATGCAACTGATTTCCGGTGTTGAAACATGAGCCTGACACCAACAAGAAGCACAAGACCTACAGCAGAAGCTATGTCAGTTCGTGACATTCTGAAGGAATATTTTGTATCCCCAGGTGAACCTATCGAGTGGCAAGATAAAATGATCCACTAATGTATAGTTACTTTGAGAATAAAACTTTTGTCTCACCTTTACGTTTCATTGTAGCAGCAACCTCCCTCCACAGAGCAGCTATAACATCACGATCCCGGTGGCTACG